GGTTTTGAATCTCAGCTCTACCACCTACCTTAGGAATCTCAGCAAGTTCTTGAACCTCTGTGAGCCCAGTTGTCTCATCTGCAACATGGGGGTGATGACAGTACCTGCCTCATAGGGTTGACGTATTAGATTAATGCACATGAAGCACTGAATTGCTTGGCCCATAGCTGGCATTGAAGAAATGGTTGGTACTGATATTATTAATAAAAAGACAATTATAAGGGAAATTGGGGATGAGTGGGAAGCCTTCCTTTTGGGTACCTTGGGAAAAAGAGTCTCATCCTGGGCTACCCTCTACACTACTTGATTGATCACCGTGGCCAGGCTCATGCTGCTCTCTCCTTTCCCCGCTCCAGCTGGCTCCAGCGTGATGTCCTGTGTCTCCTGCTTCTTCTTGTCTTTTGGGAACAGCGAGTCAGCCATGATTGCTCTGCTCTGCCTTTTTGGGGGTGTCAGCATTGCATCCTGGAACGCGCTGGACGTGTTGACTGTCGAACTCTACCCCTCGGACAAGAGGTAGTTGGAGTGTGGTAGGGGCAGGGCAGCAGATTTAGGGCCTGGAGAGCAGGGGAGAAGTGGGGTGAGGAAGGGGGGCCGAATGGGAAAGGCCTCTTTAGGGGTAAAAGGGGGCACATTCCCATTGAGTTTCTCCTCTAAAAGCTGGTAGTTTTTGTATTCACTCCTGGGAGTCTTAATTATTAACCTAAGTTTTTGGTCTGCTTTCCTTCTTGCCTCCCAATATATCTATATTCTCTGATGTGCATCTCTCACCTCTCTGATCTCTCTGTCCTTCCTTCCCCCTCTTGGACACTGCCTGCCATCCCTGCTTCACTTCCCTGCCTACCCACCCTTCCCCCACATCCTCCCATGCCTCTTCCTTTGTCTCACTCCTGGGCGGGGCCCCTCCTTGCTGCCTGCTGCGCTGGGGGACTCCTGAGCAGGACCACAGCCTTCGGCTTCCTGAATGCCCTGTGTAAGCTGGCAGCTGTGCTGGGGATCAGCATCTTCACGTCATTTGTGGGAATCACCAAGGCTGCCCCCATCCTCTTTGCCTCAGCTGCCCTTGCTCTCGGTAGTTCTCTGGCCCTGAAGCTGCCCGAGACCCGGGGGCAGGTGCTGCAGTGAGGGGGTCTCTGGGGCTCCAGGGGTGGCAGGCACACTGTGAGACCAACAACTTCTTCCCCCTCCCTGCCCTGCCATCCTGGCCCCCGGAGCCCTCACTCCTCACTCCCGTGTTTGGTGTCTTAGCCGTGTGTGTGTGCGTGTGCATGTGTGTGACCTCGTGGGCAGGGACTACAGAGAAGCCTCCCTCATCTCGGTTTTGGGATGCAGCTCCACCCCCCACTTCCTACCACCCTTAACTTTGCACAAGAGAAGACTTGGCCCCACCCTTCTCCTCCAGTGTTAGTGAGGGGCCCTTGCTCTTCCCGGCTCCAGGGGCTCTAGAACAGGCTTCCTGCCTTCCCCCTCATTCCCTCTGCCTAGGCCCGGGTGAAACCACGGGCATATGGTTATGTCAGGGGCTGGGGCTTGGTGTAGACCATGGACCAAAAGAACTTAGAGTCGGAAGGGCCTCGGTGCCCTCTCACACCTCCTGTCGGATGCTGGGGGAGTAGCAATAAACCTCAGCCCCCTGGCCTCCACTTCTCCCTCAATTTGGGCTACAAGTAAGAAGCCTGAATTTTATGAAATTAGCTTTCTGATTCTTATTTATTTATATATTAAGTTCTGAGGCAGCTCAGCAGGACTGTGTGTGTGTGAATGTGTGTGTACACTTATGTATGCGTGTGTATGTGCCGTGGGTGGGGGGTGTCACTATACTGTCCTAAAATACAAGCCAAGGGTAATTTCCATGGACACACACAACCCTGCCTCCCATAGCACCTCCCCTAATCTTGTTTCTGTGCTGGGCTGGGGAGGGAGGAGCCCTAGGCCAGGCTGGGATAAGAGTTCCACAGTCTAGGGAGATCTGAGGGCACCTGATAAGGTCCACCTTCTCCCCCCTCGAGAAGCACAGGCCTCCTCTGGAGTGAGAGGCTCAACCCACTATAGCACAGACAGGAAGAGCACAGCTGCCCTCCCACCCCCAACCTGTCCGCTCACAGGCAAGGGAGCAGGGGAGGGAGAGAAACCAGGCATGTGGTCAAACCAGCAGATCAAAAAGCACAAGGAGCTGGGGCGGGGGCAGGAAGCAGGGGCCCTCCCAGTAAATCCTCTCAAGTGGGAAGAGGTTGGGCAGTAAACCTGGGACGCCTAATGCAGGGAGCAGAAGCCTCAGTTTCCCTATCTCCCCCTTTCCACACAGTAGCCCCTGTAGGTTAAGCTGCCCCTGCCCTACCCTACTCTGTGTGGCTGCTTTCTTTGGTGCCCACCCTCCTCCCACTGTAGCTGTGATGTGTTGTAGTTTTTAGCTGTTTGTAAAATGTTAAAAGAAAAAAATGAAAACAACAAAAAAAGACATTCAAATTTGCCCTCCTCATGCTGCGTCTGGTGCCCCACCCTATGCTCCCTCCCCCCATTTTGTAACACAACCAGGTGGTGACTGTTTAATTCTTTGGTGTCTGTGCTCAAAGGACTGCCTTCTCCTCCAGTGCCCAGTGTACGAGTGTTCCCTTTCCTCAGCCTTCACTTGCTGGACGCAGCCCTCTCCCCTGCACCCCCTGGAGGGACCCATCCATCTCCCTTGCTCTCCTGGGGAACCCTAAACCCAACTCCATTGATGTGAAAAATGAAATGAAAAATATTGAAAAATAAAAAGGAAACAAATCCTTAAAATCCAAAATGGCTCTGTCTGCTTATGTGCCTCTCTACCTACATCCCCCTCTGTTCCGGCTCCTGACAGTGCTGAGAGGGGAAGATGGTGAGATGGAAAAGCAACTCCTCACTCCAAACTCAAAGCCAGAATAACACGATGTGTCACAATAACATGATGCATCACACTGTGTCCTAAATTGGCCTCTCTACTGTGCCCTTTCCACTTCTACAGATGGAGGGCCCTCTGAGTCTCCCAGATTTGACAACCTGGGGTAATGTCCAATTCAATCGCAGAAAACTAACAACCTGATTAAAAAAATAGGCTAAGGACTTGGATAGATATTTCTCCAAAGAAGACATACAAACGGCCAATAGGTATATGAAAAAATGCTCAATGTCATTAATCATTAGGGAAATACAAATCAAAACCACAAGATACCAGTTCACACCTGTCAGGATGGCTATTACCAAAAAAACCAAGATGAAAAGTTTTGGAGAGGATGTAGAGAAATCGGAACGTTTGCACATTGTTGGTGGGAATGCAAAATGATGCAGCTGCTCTGGAAAAGAATATGGAGGTTTCTCAGAAAATTAAAAATAGAACTACCATATGATCCAGCAATCCTGGTTCTGGGTATTTATCCAAAAGGATTGAAATCAGGATCTTGGAGAGATCTTGGCATTCGCGTGTTCCTGGCGGCACTATTTAAAACAGCCAAGATGTGGAAGCAACCTAAATGTCCGTTGACAGATGAATGGATAAAGAAAATGTATATACATACAATGGAATACTATTCAGCCTCAAGAAAGGAAATTCTGCAATATGTGACAAGATGGATGAACGATGAGGACATTATGCTAAGTGAAATAAGTCAGTCACAGAAATACAAATACTGTATGATTCCACTTATATGACAGATCTAAAATAGTCAAATTCACAGAATCAAAGAGTGGAATGGTGGTTGCCAGGGGCTGGGGGAGAAGGAAATGGAGAGTTACTAATCAATGGGCATAAAGTTTCAGTTAAGCAAGATGAATAAGCTCTAGGGATCTGTTGTCCCACAGTGTACTTACAGACAATGGTAGTGTACACTTAAACATTTAAGAGGACAGATCTCATATTAAGTGTTCTTACCACAATCAAAATTTACAAAAATAAACTTAAAAAAATGAAAAACCCCAAGAAATGAAAACAAAGAGGAGTAATGTTTCTTGAGAACAGAACCAACTTTCCTGCAAATCGTCTTGTGTGCCTTTTAAAAATATAGATTCCAGATTCCATTCTTGACTTGTGGAATCAGAACCCTCTTTTTGGAAGAGAGGGGACATAGAATCCACATTTTAAACAAGCTCCCTTGAGAATTCTTACCTGTGTGGAAATCTGGAAACCACTGCATGGGGGTTACCCTTGACCCCCCTCTCTCTACTCCATTTCTGTTCTAATCAAAGCCTTTTTCTATTTTATGTTAGCTCTCAAACCAGTCTTCCTTTCCCTTTCTACAGCTGACCTCTAAGTCAGCGTTTCACCTTTACTCTTGTTCAATCTCTGCATCTCCAGTCTCTTATGCCAACCTACCTATACATCACTGCCAGATCAATCTGCCCCACAGTGCTTTGGCATGCCTTTCCTCAAAACTCCTCAATGTCTCCCTACTGCCCAACCAGATGCAGTCTAAACTCTTTAGCCAAAAAGCGTTAAGATATATGTTAATCAAGCTTTTTCTTTAGTATCTAAGTTCTATCTCCACATTGAGATCTCCAGAAAGTTGCTTACTTAGATGTTACTTGAGCTCCCTCAGAAATACAACATTTAGAAGGCTCACAAGTAAAAAGGCTACATAAAGCTTTCTCTATCTTCTATATTTTCATCTCCTAGGTTATCTTTTCACTGCCTTAGAGAAAGATTTTTCTTACAAACAAATAAAAATCCTTTTGGAAATGGACAGGCTGTTAGAAAGCCAAACATTCCTCTTGTATGAAATTTAAATGCATCTATAACTCCTGTCTTGTCTAATAACTCACTGCCTGGTCCAGCTTCTATGTCTTTGCTTGGGCTCTTCCCCTGCCTGCAACACCTTTCGTCTTTCCTTTCTGTTTAATTCTGTGCTTTCCTTTAAGGACCCAACTAGGTCACTTCTCCCATGAAGCCCTTCCTAACTACCCTAGGCTACATGGTATCTTTCTTCTCCAAAGAACATCTGTAGCACTAATTCAACAGGCCATTAATAACACAGCAACGCACCTCATATGATAACTTCTCTTTTAATATACAGGATTATTTCCAAGTCATCAGGTCTTGTGGTTCCTTACAATTTAACATGAAACTGGGCAGCTTTTCCTGAATAGTTCAGGGCAAGAGCAGTAGTCAGTGATTCTACTCTTTCCTTGGGTTAGCTTTGATCTAAAATGAGTTGCTATCTCCAGAGTATATGGATGCGCCGGTAGACTGGCGCAGGGGTTCTCATCTCTTACAAATACGACTGTATTGGGCAAAAGTAGGCCCCAGGAGTTTATTCTCATGCAACCCACTCGGATCCTAGTCCTCCTTCTCTCCGGGGGTTCAGGGAGTTCCTCGAGTTTTCTTGCTCCCACCCATGCAGGGGGGGCTTGTGTCCAATTGCGGGTTCTCCCTCCACTGGGCAGGGGTCCGCGCCTGTATGGCCAGCGCATGGACCGGCCCAGCCAGCTCCTCGGACAGCGCGGCGTGGACTAGCCGATGCCTTTGCAGGGGGCTCAGTCCTTCGAAGCGAGAGCTCACCACAGCCACGCGGAAATGCGTCTCACTGCCCGGTGGGACCGCGTGGCCGCTGCTCTCGTTGCGCAGCTCCAGCACCTCGGGGTTCAGGGCCTGCTCCAACTTCGTGCGAATGGCAGCCTCGACGGGACCGACGGTCCCCAATCCCGCGCGGCCCCGGGTCAGACAAACGCGGCCGGCCATGGAGAACAAGCGACCGACCAGCTGCCCGCTCAGCATCGGCTACGGCAGAGACAAGGACCAGAGCAGTGAGGGTCAGGGCCTCCGTGCCTGGAGAGAGGCAGTCTCCGCCCTCCCCCTCCCACTCCCCCGCACCCTGTACTCGCAGCCAACGTCCACATCCCGCTCCTGCAGGGAGCCAGCCTTGACGCCAGACAGCGAGACCCAAGACACCGCCCCTTTCCTCTGTGTGACGTGGGGGAATCTGGCGTCCAGCCGCGGGTAGCCGAAAGGCGAGGGGTCATTAAAGAGGACCCGCGCGCGAGGCACGTTCGTTGCTAAGGGGAGTTGCAAGGAATGGGCTGGAGGTTGCAAAAGTAGGGTATGTGCAACTCCGGGCTTTTGGCTGAGCCAGCGTCCCCTCTGAACCCCAGGCTGGGCCCTCTCTACCTTCCGCTCAGCCTGGGCTACCGCAGTTCCTGCTCAGGGACGGAACTCCTGACGTTCCGGGAAGTGCGGTCCTCGCGTCCTGAGGCAGCTGGGAAATAGAGTCCTCGCGGCACGAGCGAATGGGCAGGCGCTACGTGATGCCCCGAGGGCTCACGGGAACTGTAGTCTCTGGTTCTCCCGACTCGTGGGGTCGTCGAACGTACTGAGCCTGGGGAATTGCAAAGAAAACGGGAATTCCTGCGCGATTGAGATTGGGATTACTCGATCTATTTTATTGCTAATATATCTTGTAGATCATCTAGACTACCTCCTTTAGTTTACATACAAGAAAATGGAAATTCATTCCGTTTATTGAGTACGTAATTATTGTACGCCAGATCCGTCCTGGAGGTTGGGGAATAAAGACAGGCCCTGTCCTCAAGGAGTTTACGCAACACTGGAGAAGATGGACAAATGAGAAGACAATTGCAATATCGTGTGATAGGTGCTATGATGGGACTAAGAACAGGATGCTAAGGAGGCATGCCACCCAGACTTGGGGGAGCAGAGAAGACTTTCTAGGGGAGATTGAGGGGAACACAAAAACCCCTTTTTCAGTGCCTCATAGGCTATGGTAGCCGCAAGTGCAAAGGCCTGGAGGAGAGAGAACTTTGGGGGAGTGGTTTCTTCGGGTGTAGTTAGGTATGGTTGGAACCCACAGTGCAGAGAGGATGGTGATGGGAAGCGGAGTGAATGGGTTGGCCTTCCGGGAGAAGAGGCAGGGACCAGATCACGGTGGGCCTTGCAGGCTTTGTTAGGTGGTTTTGTCTTTATCCTAGGAGCAGTGGGAAGCTAGTGAAGGTTTTAAGCAGGAATGTAACAGGATGAGATTTTTCGAAGATGATGTAACTTTTCAATTCAATCTGTATTTTATTTTGTATCCTTAATATTTTATAGATTTTCTCCATATATGTCTATTTTCCCTAACTTCTAATTTTGAAAAATTTCAAACCTGCAGAAAAGTTGAATAGTACAAAGCAACATCCTCTACCTTTCACTATTTTTTACATTTATATATATTACATACTTATACTATATATTTATATATTTAAGTACTTTATATATACCTATATACTTTAAAAATATATTTACATACTTTTTTTGGCTGAACTATTTGGAAATAAGTTGCAGATAGCATGCCATTTGTGTCTCCCAAGAACAAGGAGCGTCTTCTCTATAACCACAGTGCCCTTGTCAGACTCAAGAAATGTAACATAATGACATATTTACCCTAGCCCTTTAAAAAAATTATAAACTTCCAGAAAAGTTGCAAGATTAATACAATGAGCACCCCATTTACCCTTCACCTATATTCATTGACATTTTGCCAGATTGTTTTGTATCTTTTTTGAATCTATGTATAATAATAATAAAATAATTATTAATTTTGCTGAATCATTTGAGAGTTAGTTGCAAAAATCTTTACCCTTCACCACTATACTACTATATATACTATATATATGTCAGCATATATCTCCTAACAAGGACATTTTCCTGCATAACCACAATACTTCTACCACACCCAAGACATTTAACATTTATACAATAGTATTATCTGATATGGAATTGATATTCAAATTTCCCCAGTTGTCTCATTATTGTTCTTTATAACTTTTTATTTTTAGAAAGTCAGTCAAGGATCATGCATGGCATTTAGCTCTCTCTAAATTTGTATTGTGCAAAGATCACTGGCTCAAGTGTGGAGAACTGTGGGGGGTGGGGGAGGGGAAGAACACCAGTGGGAGACCAGTTGGGAGGTTACTGCAGCCATCTGGGTGAGAGATGAGGATGACTTGGACCAAGGTGGTAGTGGAGGAGGTGGAGATGGAAAGAAATTGTGGCTACAAGATCTATATTAGGAGGGTAAAATCCACACGATATAGTAATGGGTTAGTTATGGGAGGGGATGTGTCAAGGATGACTATCAGATTTGTTTATCTGGATGGATGGCATTTTTCCCTGAATTATGGAATACTGGAAGAAAACCAGGTTTGGAAGAGTGGGGGAGGGGAAGATTAGGTGCCGAATTCAGTTTTGGACTTAAGTCTGAAGTGTCTTTATGATATCCAAGAAGAGATGTCAAGTTGGAAATATGGTTCTGTGTGTATTTTATTTTTAACTTTTTCTTCTGAGGTACTTTCAGAGTTACAGAAATTACAAAAATAGTACAAGTAATTCCTGTATATCCTTCACCCTGATACCCACATTATGCAAATGTTAACATTTTACCATGTTTGCTTTATTTTCTCTGTGTATTCCTGCCACAAACCCATGTCCTAAATCTGAATCATAGAAAACATTAGACAAACCCAAACTGAGGGACATTCTACAAAATAAATGGTCTGTACTCCTCAAAAGTGTCAAAGTCATGAAAGACTAAGGAACTATTCCAGATTAATGGAGACCGAATGTCTCCATTCTACACATCCATATTTTTTTTCCTGAACCTTTTGAGAGTAAGTTTCAGAGAAAAAGCCCATTTACATGTAACCACCTGTGATGGTTAATTTTATGTGTCAACTTGACTGGGTGACAGGGTGCCCAGATATTTGGTCAAACATTATTTTGGGTGTTTCTGTGAGTGTGTTTTTGGATGAGATTAACATTGAAATTGGTAGACTGAGTAAAGCAGATTGCTCTCCCTAATGTGGGTGGGCCTCATCCAATCAGTTGAAGGCCTGAATAGAACAAAAAGGCTGCCCCTCCCTGAGAAAGAGAGAGTTCTTTCCTGCCTGATTGCCTTTGAAGTGGGACATTGGCTTTTTTCCTTCCTTCAGACTTGAACTGAAACATTGGCTCTTCCTGGGTCTCCAGCCTGCTGGACTTCGGACTGGAACGACAGTATTGGTTCTCTTGGTTCTCAGGCCTTTGGTCTTGGACAGAACTACACCATCAGCTCTCCTGGGTTTCCAGCGTGCTGACTCACCCTGCAGACTTTGGGATTTGTCAGCCTCTATAATCATGTGAGCCAATTCCTTACAATAAATCTCTTTCTCTCTCTCTCTCTCTCTCTCTCTCCCCCCCCATATATATCCTACTGGTTTGCTTCTATGGAGAATTCTAATATATACTTACTAATGTGTATGTAGTGGAAAAAAAAGATTTCCTCACATAACCGCAATATAATTGTTTGTCAAACTCTGGAAATTAACATCGATGGAGTACTGTTATCTAACCTATACATCTTACTCAAGATTTGCCAGTTGTCCCACTAATGTTCTTTATATAAAATGAAAAATTTTTTTCTGGTCCTGGATCCAATCTAGTATCACATGTTACATTCAGTTTTTATGTCTCTTCGGTCTCCATTAATCTGAAATAGTTCCTTAGTCTTTCATGACTTTGACATTTTTGAGGAGTACAGACCATTTATTTTGTAGAATGTCCCTCAGTTTGGGTTTGTCTAATGTTTTCTATGATTCAGATTTAGGACATGGGTTTGTGGCAGGAATACTGCAGAAGCGTTGTTGAGTCCTTCTCAGTGAACCATACCAGGGGGCATATAAATTAATTTGTCCTGTTGCTAGTGATAATTCTGATCACTTGATTAAGGTGGTTTCTTTCAGGTTTCTCCATTGTAAAATTATTCTTTGTCCATTTGTAGATACTTTGAGTCTATGTAACATCCTGTTTCTCATTGAGCTTTTGTCTACTAATTTTAGCATCTGAGAAGTGTATTTGAAGCAGGAGTTATTGAAGATGAAATGAGATCATCAGGGGGGGGGGGGGGGGGAAGTGGGTGAGGGGGGTGAAATCACCTGGGGAGAGAGCATATGGTGAGAAAAGAATCAGATTTTCTATTAGAATATCACTCTGGCTAGTGTGTGCAGAATGTATTAGAGGGACGGGAAGAGCGGAAGCAGGGAGAAGAGTAGAAGATCCTATGGCAGTAGTCTGGTGAAAGATAATCTGAGTGAAGGCAAGAGATAGGCTAGAGAGAAGTAAATCAATTAGAACACTGTTAGAGAGATGGAGTCTGCAGGACTTGTTTTTGGTCAGGGCCTTGCAATTTACTAATCCAGTGATAGTGGTGGCGAATGGGTGGAGGCTGGGGTCAGAGAAGGCTTCTTCTTCTCCTTGCTGCGGAGGGAACATTTAAACAGAGATTTGAATGACTAGAGGGAACTAACCATATGGAAAGAGCGATCTTGGCAGAGGGAACATATTCACTACATTCTAGATGTGTTATGCCAAGCTCAGTGTTGGCATACTTGGGTGTTCAATAAAATGTACTGGATGGATGAGTGTATGGATCGAGATGGCCGACATCGTTTTTATTCCTGTTGCAAAAATAAATGAAAGCTTTGCAGGTTGCAAGTTCCATGGGGCAAGCTTAGTGTCTTTGTTTATAATAAAAATATTGTCATAATAGTGTATACTATTTTGTGAAGGTTTTTTGTGACCTGATTAAGACTTTTAGAGGCTTTAAGCACCAAGAGATTATGGTGGCCATCTCATGTGTAATTAAATAAAACAAAACAAAAAACAATAAACACTAATCTGTAACATGAATATTGGGATGCCCAACAAAGTATTCATTTTTCCCCCATGATGATTACTTCAATATTTTTCCATTAAAAAATTAATTTGTGCTTATTTATGTATAATTTACCATAAGAAATGTACAATTCTTAAGCGTACAGCTTAGTTTTACATAAGAATATACCCTTATCAAGATACAGAAAATTTCCACACCTTGGAAGGCTCTCAGGGAAGTCAATACCTTGCCACAGGTAACCATTATTCTGACATCTATCACCACAGATTAGCTTTCCCTGTTTCAGAACTTCATAGAAATAGAATCACAAAGTATGAATTAGTTTGTTTGTCTTCTTTTGCTCAATATTGTCTGTGAGATTCATCCATGTGTGTGGTGCTAATTGGTTCATTTTCATTGTTGTATAGCATTGCAGGATATGACTATACTACATTCTTGTACATGCTTTTTGTTGGATGTAAACATTCATTTCTGTTTGGTGTATATCCAGGAGTGGAATTGCTAGGTCGGAGGATAAACACAGTGTTTATTTCTGAAATGGCAAATTCATTCAAAGAATTTATGGGATGCCCCTGCTTTGTTGGTGCCAAGTACTGTTCTAAATGTTTTACATTCATGAACTCTTTTAATTCTTACAACAATCCCAGGAAATAGCTACTATTATTACTCTTACTTTACCAATGAGGAAGCAGAGACCCTTAGAGGTTAGGTAATTTGCCCATGCTCACAGATCTGGTGAACAAACTCAGAGCGATGCTGCAGAATTTGGGCTCTTAACCACTAAGCTATTCTGCCCTAACCAGAACTGGGGCCTCTCAGATTGCAGGCTCTGTTCTAGGTTCTTTACATTTATTTTCACTTATTCTAACAACTCTATTATGGTAGGGTATATTATTTTTATTTAATTGATCAGCTTCTATTATATCTTCCATCATGCTGGTTACCACAGTCTACTATTTATAGTTGGCATTTGGAGAGTGGTTGTTGACTAAAGGAAAATATTTTAGAAAACAAGACACTAATTGTCTAAGAGTATTGTCTCATTTATTCATGCCCAAAACATTTAATTACCCTACTAAGAACCAGGTAGACGAAATTAAGGACTCCTGATTAAAAAATGAAGAAGACATGGTTTCTCCCTTGAGGTGGTCACAGAGAGAAGTGAGACCAAAATCAAAGCACACTACAGAGTGGTAAGTGCTGTCACCAGGATGTGAACAAAGAGATGTGGGTACACTGAGGCTGTGTGTGTGGGAGTAGGGAAGGCCTCGTGAAGGAGGAGGGGATATCTGGGCTGAAACTGGAAAGGTAAGGAGGATTTTGCCAGGTCAAGAGGAGGATGAAACATTCTAGCCAGAGGCAACTGTATGTGCAAGGCATGGGTCCGTGGAAAGGCCCAGCTCATCTCATGCATGATGTGCAGCTCAGCATGGAGGAGGCTGGCGGGTGGAGGGAGAGGTGGAGCGAAGGGGGAAGAGAGAGGACTATGGTTGGAATGGTGGTATGGAGCTCTAAGACAAAATAAATGTTTGATTAACTAGATTGCCCAGGAAGGAACTCAGTTGCCTTTGGGTAAAAATCCCAGAGGTATTAAAGGAAATAAGATTCAGCCTGTTTGTCTGCGATGGTGTACTATTTTTACAAATGGCCTGCTCTATTTTATTTTTTAATAGCTCTGGTAAGAATGTTGGGAAAGGAGCTCTGGGGAGCAATAGATAGTAACTGAGCCTGGTATAATTTGTAGGATACCAGCCTATCTAGACTTATCTAATAAGGGTTTATAGCTGGATGGAATCTAAAGTATTAAGTGTAATTCTCTCTCTCTCCCTCTCTCTCTCTCTTTTTAATAGAGGAAGAAAGTGGGATGTAATCTAAAGTATTAAGTGTAATTCTCTCTCTCTTTTTAATGGAGGAAGAAAGCAAGGCTGGGAGAGTTAAGTGACTTCATGAAGCCCAGCATCTAGTTAATGAGGCAGTGTGAATGAAGTGGTGAAGAGCACAGTCTTTGAGTCAGGCAGACCTGGGTTCTAATCAGGTCTTAGTAAGTGGTTGCGTCACCTTTGGCAAGTGCTTTAATTCCTCTGAGCCTCAGTTTCCTTATCTGTGAAACAATTATATCCACTTCATGGTAGCCCAGCATAGGGTTCAACATAATCTCTTTCCCCTTTCCCCTTCCTCATAGCACTGGGTCACTGTGATAGAAGGAAAACAGAGATCACAGGTCAGAGAGGGGGAGGTCAGCTGACCCCTCAAGCAGGGCCTCGAAGGGTACCAGAGTTCTGGTGGGGCCCCGCTATCTGGGTTTTGTTTTCAGCCCTGTAGGTCTGAAAAGTTGACACTATTAGAACTTTTAGAGTTGATTGGCTTCTTGAGGAGACCTTAACAAAATACATGAGAAATTTATGAATAGTCTAGAATGCAAATTCATTTAACTTCTAGTGATAGATATATCTTCCCATAACTGGCTCTCCCCTTCTCAGTCTCATATTTTTATCTTGAAGTAGAATTGGAAAGTTGTTAATTGAGCACAGAATCTGAGCTAAGAGAGTTGCATAGTCTTCAGAAATATTTCACCCAGGCTGTGAGAAAAGGCTGATTTCACAGCTAAGGACCCTTCTATAATAGTCCAAACTTTTGTGTCTAGTGGACATATACTGAGAAACACAACACATTACTACTGTACTTATGCCCCGTTTAGACTCTGATTGGACCACATGTTTCTATTAACACACAAATCTTTTGAAATGATATACTCGACTGGGTTAGAATTATCTTCAGTTACACTCTGCTATTGAGGAAACACTCCCATCACCTTTGACTGGTCTTGGGTGTTTCACAAATCCATACCAGCAGTCTTACCAGGGGTAATCTCTGCAGATATTAACTGATTTAACTTCCAGAGTTCAGATTTCCTCCATTTCCTAGAGGCATCTCATTACAATTCTTTGTGCTAGTCTCAGTTATCTGTATACCCATTGCCTATAGTATGTACTGGATAAATGTCAGTTGAATAAAAGTGAGGATAAAAGAGAGATCAGAAAAGGGTTCAAGGAACAGAATTTGAGTCTATTCTTTTCTCTCTAGTATTCTAGCTCCTGTCCTTATGACTACTTAGGAAAGGGTGAAAATGGTGTTGGAGGGTGTAGGACTCCCAGAGATGGGAAGCTGAGGAGGAACAAACAGAACTTTCAGGAAAGATTTCAATGGAAGGCCCGCGGAGGACTATGCACACGAGTCTACAGGGACTGCTGTTGAAGTCTGAGAGCGATAATGAGGCTGACAAGAAAAGCATGGAGAAAGGCTGAGGAGATGTTAAGGAAGTAACTGACTGCACGTGCTCTTGAGATGCAAGGAAGAGTAGATTCCGGCGTGAGTAGCTGGAAGATGGTGCAACTCAGGGAAAGAGGGCAGAGAGAGGAGGGCGGGATGAGTTGATTGGCTGAGTCTGCGTTTGGATAGGTACGAGTCGTTGGGAAAAACGGGTTGAAGTATCCAGTAAGCGGTTAGGGATAAGGGTCTGAGCTTCTGAAACAAATTTGGATGTTAGTTGAAAGCATGCAACTGGGTAAGATTCTTCGGGAAGGGTGAAGAATGGAGGTGGGACAAGCAGGGAGGCAGAGCCAAGATGGATTTAGGGATGAGCAGAGGAATAGGGGCAGGATAAGAGGCGGAGGACGACATTTTGAAAGCCAAGGAGCGTTTCAAGGCGGTATCGGACGCCTCCTGGAGGTCAAGAGAAGAATGACAAATCTATTCTAGCCCTTGGTCACACAGGATTCCGAGGAGCGAAGGCGGGTGGGGGTTGGGCGAAGCCATACTGCAGGCAGCGACTAATTGAGGAGAGAGAAAAGAGGCGGCCTTAGTAGAATATTTTTTAGGGTCATTTGTGGCGACACAGAAGGGCAGGGCTTGGAGGGTAATTTAGGGCCCAAGGGGATAACCGGCTTCAGAATCGCGTGCCCTTGGGTGGGAATAACTGCGTCTGCTTGAGACCCCCGTGCAGGCCTTTCGGGTCCTCTTTGGGATTTCTCTTGCTCTAAGCTGGAAAAAAACTACCACTCTAAACTGGAAAAAAATTGCCATTCAGTAAAAAATAAAACACCATTTTGTTTGAAACGCTTCTTTCTTTAAAAATCCTGGCATGCAAATAAGGGCCTTTAATGTGGCTCCCAGCGATTGGTAGGTACTTACGAAATCCGTCACTTCCTCGTAGTGTAGGATGCAAACGAAGAGTCTGCTTTCTGCTTTCCTATTGGCTGTTTGATCCGGCTCCGCTCTTAGCCAATCAAACTACTTCCCATCACCCCTCCCAGTAGCTCTTATAAATTACATCAAATTGGTTATCCTTTTCACATCCTTCTCCTTGAAAAAGAAGCTGTAACTGCATTTTTAGCCGTAATGTCAGGACGCGGAAAGCAGGGAGGCAAAGCTCGCGCCAAGGCCAAGTCTCGATCGTCCCGTGCTGGCCTTCAGTTTCCGGTGGGGCGAGTGCACCGCTTGCTGCGCAAAGGCAACTACGCCGAGCGGGTGGGGGCCGGCGCGCCGGTGTACCTGGCGGCAGTGCTGGAGTACCTGACTGCGGAGATCCTGGAGCTGGCGGGTAACGCGGCCCGAGATAATAAGAAGACGCGCATCATCCCTCGTCATTTGCAACTAGCTGTGAGAAATGACGAAGAGCTCAACAAGTTACTCGGGGGTGTCACCATTGCCCAGGGCGGCGTCTTGCCCAATATCCAGGCTGTCTTGTTGCCTAAGAAAACGGAAAGCCACAAGCCTGGCAAGAACAAGTAATTAGGAGGCTTGACACCATCCCCACTCTCCCCAAAGGCTCTTTTAAGAGCCACCAAAGTGTCAAATGAAGGGCTGATCACTAAATAGCGCATTAGCTCTTTTTTTGAAAACTTGGGTGGCTCTAAAAAGAGCCTTTGGTCTTTGGTTTACTTTATCAGGATTTATTTACTTTTGGCTTTGTGGCTTTCGGTTTTCTTTGGTAATAGCACGGCCTGGATGTTGGGCAGAACGCCGCCCTGGGCGATGGTGACTTTGCCCAGCAGCTTGTTCAGCTCCTCGTCGTTGCGGATAGCCAGCTGCAGGTGACGAGGGATAATGCGCGTCTTCTTGTTGTCTCGGGCCGCGTTGCCCGCCAGCTCCAGGATCTCCGCGGTCAGATACTCGAGGACCGCCGCCATGTAGACCGGCGCGCCGGCCCCCACCCGCTCGGCGTAGTTGCCTTTGCGCAGCAGGCGGTGCACTCGCCCCACCGGGAACTGGAGCCCAGCGCGAGAAGACCGCGACTTCGCCTTAGCGCGGGCCTTCCCTCCCTGTTTGCCACGGCCAGACATGATTGAGAATGAAGCTACAACACCTAAATCTCGGAATCTCGTAACAAAACAGGATTGAAAGATCAGCAATTGGAAAGCCTTTATAAGCTTTCCTAGGGGTGGAGTCAGGAACGAATCTTTCATTGGTCCTAAATTGGCTCCAGAATCTGCCAATAAGGTCAAGAGTGGGTGTTGTTACGTAGCTCTGACTGATGACACAAGGTCCCTACATGGCCCAATGGAAACGAGAGACTTTTGAAGCCCTAATTTGCATACGGTAGTTATAAAAGGATCAGGCCCGCCCATTCTCACATTTCTTTCCTTTGCTAACCCGTGTTGTATACTACAATGCCTGAGCCGGCCAAGTCCGCGCCCGCGCCCAAAAAGGGCTCGAAGAAAGCGGTCACCAAAGCCCAGAAGAAAGACGGCAAGAAGCGCAAGCGCAGCCGCAAGGAGAGCTATTCCATCTACGTGTACAAGGTGCTGAAGCAGGTGCACCCGGACACCGGCATCTCGTCCAAGGCCATGGGCATCATGAACTCCTTCGTCAACGACATCTTCGAGCGCATCGCCGGCGAGGCGTCCCGCCTGGCGCATTACAACAAGCGCTCGACCATCACGTCCCGGGAGATCCAGACGGCCGTGCGCCTGCTGCTGCCCGGCGAGCTGGCCAAGCACGCCGTGTCCGAGGGCACCAAGGCCGTCACCAAGTACACCAGCTCCAAGTGAGTCCCTGCCGGGACGCGGCGCTCGCGCGGCTCCCCGCCCGCTTGACTCCAAAGGCTCTTTTCAGAGCCACCCACCTAATCACCAGAAAAGAGCTTTGTTCACTTACTTTCTTTGTTTTTTCTCACAAAGTAAGTTATTCTAGTTGGTTAAAGGTCACAGAAGATGGTACACTTAGCTGTTTCGGTCCTCTGACTTCAGGTTCCTTGCGCGGGACTGCCTTTGCTTCTGAGTCTAGGGTGCGTCTTAATTCCTTATTGTGTTTAGTTTTCCTATGAATCAGCTCTAAACTAAGATCCGCTCCACCCCACCCTCCGACCCCAGACTACAGTGTCCTGGGGGTTCTGCCGGCTACGTCTCATCGGTGTTTTAAAAAGAAGTGAGTGATTTTCGGCATCCACATTTAAGAAAGGACCCGAAGACACAACTAAGCTCGGGTCCCGCGAGCACTGCATCACAGCCCTGGAGGATTCTCAAGAGTCTGGCAGCCTCTTGGGTCTTGGGTCACCAGTTTTGCTTTGCGATGTGGCCTCCCATGGATACCAGCGCTCTTCTGGGCACCTCAGGCGGAGCCAGCGCGGCCGGGTCTCAGCCTTTCCGTGATTGGACGACGTGAATATTCAAAACCACGCGCCGCTCCAGAATTCGTAGATTCTGGTTTTCGCTGCTTACTTTAAGACTTTGAGATCCCTATTTCTCTGTTTGTGAGTCATTTTTGCCCTTGAATGCTCTCCTTGGAACGCTCCAGCCTTGGGTCACTGCAAGGCACTGGTCACTTAGGTCTGGGCTAAAAGTCACCTCTCAGAGGCCTTCCCAGCTCATCCACTCAGGAATTCGCGCTTCTCGTTTCTGCCTGTCCTTGGTCTCTCTCACTGTTTTATCTTCCTCCTGGTAGCTGTCAGAAATTGTTTGGCTCGTTTATTTTCTTGTTTATGGTCTTTCTCCTCAAGCCCTTGACAGAGACTTTGCTGGTCTGGTTTTCCGCTATATTGTCAGCGCCAATCTGCCTGACGTGTAGTGGACACTTACATCGTGAATTAATACTGTTGAATTAATTTTCCTATCCCACCCCTTCCTTAATCACTTCCTTGGGTGGATGAGTGCGGGTCATTTCCGTTAAACATATGTGAAGATGATGAAAATGGAAATATTTTTGGAGCTTCTTTCCCAAGTCTGCCGTGGTCACCTCAAGGCAACAGCTGGGAGAAAGCCTATGTTAAAATTCTTGTTGCGCCTAAGAGGAGGTGGCAATGTTTGCTCCTCCCTTTATGCTTCTCAGTTTAGTGTAACCTCTTTTGGATTTTCATTAAATTCAGAGCTTTGGTCTCTGGTAAGATCCTTTTCCCTTCTCTTTTTCTGACACTCCCCACCTCCCCCCATTCTGCCATCTTCATCCTCTGTTCCCTACTGAGATCACCTTTTAATTTACACTCACCATCTCATTTGCTTTTCGGGACACCCTGTAAGATAGACCCTGTAAGATAGGCAAAGTTAATATCCCTCTACAAACAAGGTTGAGAGAAGCACAGTCCACTGGCCACGCAGCTAACACTGTCCACCTTTGTATCCTCAGGTATGAGGACAATTACATTTTAGTTTTACTTTGTGTCATTGCAGAATGTTGAATCTTTCTGTCCAAGCCATGATTTTGCTGATAAATACATTGATGGTCTGATCAGTTATTAAACGCTGCTTTTGGTCCTGGAGTTGATTGCAAGGTTTTCATGAATCCAAATGGACTCCAGACATCATAGACTGATTAAATCTTGTGTTTCCTACATGTATGTTTTCAAATGTGTGTAGATGCTATTGTTATTGATAAAGTTACCAATTAATTTAAAAAGTTGGCTGGATTCTTTTATCTGCTATATATTTTCTAATTAAATCAAATTACCAGATACAACCACTACTGGGTCTGTGGAAAGCTGGGTGTCTCTGACTCGGAGAATGCATATATTTATAAGCCATCAGCAAAACTTACTTCTACCCCAGAGGTGCACTGGGGCTGAAATAGCCTGTTAGCAGGACACTGTTTATGCTTAGTAATTGAAAAGTACATGGCCACAAATAAGAAGCATTATAAACAAGATAGAAGTAAAGTCCTTAAGAAAGCTTAGCTAACACCTACAGGGCACTCACTGTGTGTCAGACAATGTTCTAGGCCCTTTACACACATTGGCTCATTTAATCCTCACAAGAACCTCACAAAGTAGTTACCATTATTATCTCTCATTTTGCAGATGAGGAAACTGGGGCACAGAGAGGTTTCTCCTCAGAAACTCTCCAGAGAATAAACTCTTAGTTCAGTGCTTAAGGGACTTGAGAAAGATCACCCTCTGAAAACCTGAACTCCTCCCTGGATTTTGGGGGGAAATAGCTATGCTTTATAATTAAAATTAAAAGAAATATCACTTGCTTTATTGTCTTCAGGATGCACCCTGGATATAAATCTACAGTGTGGCCGTGGCTCAAAGTCTTGAGGTTGGGAGTGGGGGTAGGGGTGTGTGTGTGGGGGGGTCTCGTTCTCCATCCCAAAAGCCATGGCACATCTCACTTTAGTTTGTGGCCGCATGGTGGGGCTCACCAGCTGCAATCCCGTCACTAACATCAGAGAACCTTAGTTGTAAGTTATAGAATGAGGAGGGGGTAGAAGTGATGGAGTTTGGTATTTTAACTCTGGAGGGGAAGTAATTAGTGACAAATTAATCCTCCTGAAGATTCTCTCTGATCATTTCTTTCCCTGCTCAAACCTCTGTATACATTTACTTATGTTGGGGTTAATAACAATAATTGTTATAATAATAATCGCTTCTACAAACTGAGCACTTAACTATTTACCTGGTGATCTGCTAGGTGGGTTACATGTATTGCCTCATTTAATCTTCACAGTCACCATTTAAGATAGGTTTCATTATTATCGCCCTTATTTTATAGATAAAGGAAACTGAATCTCAGAGAAGTTAAATAACTTGTCCAGGATCGTTTAGGAAGTAAGTGGTGGAACTGCAATCCAACGCACACTTTAAAAAGCTTGATATTCAGCACCCTTCATAATCTGCCTCTTCCTTCTTTTACAGCTCCATCTCCTACTGCTCCCCTGTCAGGTTTTCTGCTCTGGTTGAAATGGTCTATTCATCTTCCCAAACCTGTTTGCTCTTTCTCAGGTCTGGACTGGACTGCCCCTTCCTTCTGGCTTGGTCAGAGCTTTCTCTCAAGCGGAGGCCACATCTTCCAGGTCAAATGACACTTCCTAACTTATTTCTCTACCATACCCACCTCTACTTTTTAAAGAAACAACTTTACTGAGGTATAATTGGCATGCAATAAACCGTATCTGTTTGAAGTATAATTTGCTAAGTTGACATACATATATACTTATGAAAATATCACTATAAGCAAAATAATGAATATATCCATCACACTTCCCCACCCCCAGAGATTCCTAGTGCCCCTTCATAATTCTTCCCTTCTGCTCCCTTCACCAATGTCCTCCTTTGCCCCAAACCCTACCCTCAGGCAACCAATGGTTTGCTTTATGTCATTATAGACAGTTTACATTTCCTAGAATTTTTGTAAATGGAATAATACAGTGTGTATCATTTGTGTCGGGCTTCTTTCACTCAGCATAATTATTTCGAGATTCATTCATAATGTTGCATGTAACGATAATTCCTTTCTTTTATTGCTGAGTAGTATTGCATTGCATGGAGGGCAACTACAATTGTTAATCCATTCAATTGTTCAGGGATTGTTGGGCTTTCTAGTTCTTCCTCCGCTTTCTAATGCACCCCAGCTTTCTGTCATGGTGGTTCCACAGATGAACATGGTAAATTTTCTGCCATCATTGGGAAGGAACTCAGATGCAGGATGAGACATCTACACAAATACTGATTCTATTCAAGTGGGAGAAAGTGTTAGGGTTTCACCTCTGCTGTCCTAGGCTCACAACCCCTCTAATCCAGTCTGTGTCCCGCTGTCAGAATAATCTTCTACTGCACAGATCTGACCTCATCACGCACCTGCTCACAAACCCCCAGTGGTCTGCCTCGCTGCCTTGGTTTGAACTTCAAAAGAAAAAAACAGAAGTTAAAAATGTAAAACTTTATCAGCAATTCTTATACCGTATTTGCTTTCACAGTGTGGTCTGGGGAGCCTGGTTCCTTAAGAAAGAGGCTAACAGAGCTCGTAATATGTCTAAGCAAGTAGTTCTGGCACAGGGAGTAAGCCTGAGGGGCATCTCTGTTTAGGTTTCAGAAACTGATCCTTAAATGAGAGACTGTCTCTGTGACTAGGGAGGCTAGGTTTAATCATCCATTTAATGTGGGTGATTGAAAATCTGTATGTACTAATTTTATAAGTATTTATTAAGTATCTATCAATATTATTAAGTTCTATAAGAAAGCCTCTCTGGAACCATTTCTCTTCTCTGACTCCTAAGCATTGTTAGGTATGATATCATTCATTCATTCTTTCATCCAATAATTTATTGAGTATTTGTTAGATTCCAGGCAATCTGCTGGGCAGTGAGGATATAAGGTTAAACAGAACAGCGTCTTCTGTCTTCCTGGACTTTTAGGCTAAAAGGGAAGGCAGACATTAAACCAGTGACTATAATAAAGTGTGACAAGTGTTAAGATGGGAGAAGTACAGATAGAGTGCAATGGAGGGGGGCCTAGCCTAACATTGGTGTGGTAAGGAAGGCCTCCCTGAGGAAGGGACTCTTAGGATGAGACCTGAATAGGCTGGGAAGGAAGAATGTTCCCGGCCGTGGGTGGCATGTGCAAAGGCCTACAGGAGAGTGAAAGGCAGCAAGCTCAGGGAGCTAAGAGGAACTGCAAGAAGTCTAGTATGGGTTGTGTTTAGAGGGAAAGGAGGAGAGTGCAGCAGCATGAGGTTCCACAGGTAAGCAGAGCCAGACCTTGCAGGATTTGGCAGACATATGGAAACAGACTTTGAAGAACCTGATTAACTTTTAGGCTAAAGTGACAATGGATAGAGAAAGGAGCTGAATGGCACTGAAAACAGAAAAGTCAAAGTCTCAGAGGCCACGTGGTCTGTGTCCATTTAAGAACTCTCTGGGGCAGATGGCACTCTAACCCTCAAATAAGTGTTCATTCACTGCACCAGGGCTCCCTTAAAGCGGAAATGGCTGCATCGGGCCGTCCGGGTTGACGTCAGCCACCTTCGTCCGGTGAGGGGACCATGAGATTCTGAGGGGGACTGTGAGATTTGTAATTGGCCAAATGTAAAGGTTTGCTCATACCCAGTGCTGGTTAGGGTTAGAGAAATAGGGTACTCTTATACACCATTAGTAGGAGAAGAATTTGTTGCAAACTTTTTTAGTGGGTAATTTAACAATAACTGCTAAAATTCCCTTTTCATATACTAATACAGAACAAAAACCCCTAAAGAAAACACTCTAAGATATTTGTGCTGGGATGGCAAATAGCAGCTTTTAAAAAATATATATATTTATAATTCTTGATAATTGAGAAATCAAAACAGATGCCAATGTACCTGTTATTCAACTTCAACAATTATCAACCCAAAGTCAATTATTGGCTCAAACCAATTATTAAGTCAAGGCTGTCCGTCTCATATCATTTTGAAGCAGATCCCAGACACCATAATATTTCACCCATAAATATTTCCTCGTGTATCTCTAAAAGATAAGGACCACAATACCAAATCACTTTTGAAATGATTAACAATAGTTCCTTAATTAATCAAATATTCAATTAATGTTCAAATTTTCAATTTTAATCTACATCTCATATCTTTTAAAAATGCTTTATTTGAATCTGAATCCAAATAAGGTCTACCCATAGTGGTTGGTTGACATGTCTTTTTACTCCAATATGTTTTCCACCTATCTCTTTTTTTCTTGTAATTTCTTTGTTGAAGAAACTGGGTTGTTTTTCCTGTAGCAGTTCCCAGTGAGGATTTTTCCGATTGCTTCCCTGTGATGCAGTTTATCACGATCCTCTGTATTTCCTGTAAATTAGTAGTTGGCCCAGAAGCTTGATTAGATTGAGGTCCACTTTTTCACTCCCTGGCAAGACTACTTCATAGGTAGTGCTATCTTTTTTTTTCTATCAGGAGACACGTAATGTCTTGTTGCTTCTCTTTTTGTGATAGCAGCTGTTGAAGCTTAATGCTTAGATCCTTTAATTCATTAGGGGCTGCAAAATGATATTCTAGCACTCCTCAATTTACCAGCTGGAGTTCTTCAATAAGAGAAAGCAGTATTATTATTATTATTATTTTTTGTTGAGTTATTGATAGGTTACAATCTTGTGAAATTTCAGTTGTACATTAATGTTTGTCAGTCATGTTGTAGGTGCACCACTTCACCCTTTGTGACCACCCCCCACCCCACCTTTCCCCCTGGTATCCACTAAACTGTTCTTAGTCCATAATTTTAAATTCCTCATATGAGTGGAGTCATACACAGATTATCTTTCTCTCGCTGGCTTATTTCACTTAACATAATTCTCTCAAGGTCCATCCATGTTATTGCAAATGGAATGATTTTGTTCTGTTTTGCAGCTGAGTAGTATTCCGTTGTATATATGTACCACATCTTCTTTATCCATTTGTCTGTTGCTGGACACTTAGGCTGCTTCCACGTCTTGGCTATTGTAAACAGTGCTAGAGAAAGCAGTATTATTTTTAATAGTAAACACCTGGAAACTACTAAACATCTGTTAGTAGGTGACAAGAAAGTGGTAGGATTCCTTTGGTGTAAATAAAAAAGGATATGTGTATATTAGTGTGTGTGCACTGGTATATAAATAAAACATCTTTCTGGAATTTCACATAATAAAACTAATAATAGTGGTT